ATACATAAATACAGTGAATCTATAGAAACCAATCATTTTCAAGTGGTCTCCTCACTCTAAATTCATTAATCATCTGAATGAACCCATTATTATACAATAAAACATTATCATTAATCAGCACAGAGACTCAGTGGTTAGCACTGTCGCCTCACAGCAAGAAAGTTGCTGGTTCAAGTTCTGGCTGTGTCAGTTGGCATTTCTGTGTGGAGTTTGCATGTTCTCTCCATGTTGGCGTAGGTTTCCTCCGGGTGCTCCGGTTTCCCCCACAGTCCAAACACATGTGATATAGGGGAATTGATTAACTAAATTGGCTGTCGTGTGAATGAGTGTGTATGGGTGTTCCCCAGTACTAGGTTGCAGCTGGAAGGGCATGTGTAAAACATATACCAGAATTGTTGGCGGTTCATTCCGCTGTGGCGACCTCTAAAAATGGAGACTAAGCGGAAGGAAAATGAATGAATGAATATCAGTAGCAATACTCAATGTATCACAATGATGTTGTTCTCTCAACCTTTTGCTGAAGAACACTTGATTTAATGTCCTCAGTGAGTCAGAAACAGTAGTGAGAAACACTTTGAGCTGATTGGCTGTGATGTTTGTGGTCATTGCTCAGGTTAATAATCCTCATAAAGCTGTGATTATATCAGTATGTGGCGTGTCGGGACGGCTCTGTATGTGTATGTATGAATGTTGCAGGAATGCTTTGAGTCTTGATGCCGACGGGCTGCTCTTTTGCTTTCAGTTGTGTGTGGAGTGTGTGTTTGTGCCCTTAGGTGTTTACACTCTTTGAACGTAATGTTCTGAGGAGGTTTTTGAAGTCCATCATGCAGAACTAATGGATTCGAGACGCGTGTTGGTTGTGGATTGCACTTTTATTGTTGTTAAAGCATAATTATTTGTGTGTGTGTGTGTGTGTGTGTGTGTGTGTGTGTGTGTGTGTGTGTGTGTGTGTGTGTGTGTGTGTGTGTGTGTGTGTGTGTGTGTGTGTGTGCGCGTGCACTGCAAAAATGGCTTTTCTTACCTAGTTTTTTGTCTTGTTTCTAGTTCAAATATCTAAAAATTCAACAATTAATGGACAAGCAATAAATATTGTCTTGTTTTCAGAAATAATATATAATAATAATAATAGTTTTTCCTTAGGAATAATAATGAGTTTGAATTTGTTTTGTTGTAATTGTATGCACTTTTATTACATTACATTACTTTTATTACTACATTTAATTTATTTTATATATTTATTTCAAAAATGAAAATAAAGTATTTGAACGTTGTTATTAATTTTATTGTATTTACTTACCTTTTTTAATTTCTGTTTTATTCTAGTTTTTATTTTAGTTTTACTCATGTTCAAACATCAAGTTAAACTAAATGAAATAATAAATGAGAATATATATAAATATATATATAT